TTAAGTACCTAGTTAAGGAACAACCTTTTTTTAACTTCTTTTTTTAAACAAAGCCAAGTTAAATCAGAGAAACAGTAATAAAAACTTGCATGTTAAACACTGTCTTCAACAGACAGCATCTCCATTACAAAGAGAAATAATTTGTGTAACACTATAAGGGAGGAGTTAGGTTTGTTTAAACCATTCCAAGAACAGTAATTTTCTGTCACAGCAGTCAATTTTGCTGCATTACAACATGGATTCATGTCCAGATGTAGGCAGGTTTTGCACCCAGGTAGAGCTCATTTTGTATCAGCCTTAAAATGCATGAACTTCTTGTCAGGGTGCACCTCCATGAACCCAGTTACAGGATGTACACAAACATTTTTTACACCACAGTTTAGAAACTGGATTTACAAGTAATCCCAACCAATTTTAATTTTACTATTTTTGATCAGCTTTAAAAACATATATATTAGCTCTTTGAGTTTAAAAGTATAATACAATTTGGCTTATTTTTAAGATACAGAAATACAAAAATTTTAAAACTTACAACAGTAACACAACTTTTTGCCCTAGAAGGTGATAGAGAGTAAAGTATAATGCGTGACACTTCATTATGCAATTTTGTGAAATATTGTCTTGTTACTGTTACTCAAAGGAGTATTATTATGATTTCGTGAAGTCAGACTGGACAAAAAAGAGCCTAAAGATATAAGACTATTTAAGACAAACAGTTTCCTTAATGACACTTTTAACAGAATATTCTATACACACATACCAATACACTCGCCAATCAAGTTAATCCCTAAAAAACCCAGTTGCACCACAATATTGCATAGAAAGAAATCCCTGGTATTAATACGCTTGCACTGGAGACTAGGACTTTCTCTCTGCCTTACTAAATCAAAGCACATATGTTTTTAAAAAAGCACTTCTCACATTTGACATTTTTCTTAGCTATATTCTTTGGAATCGCTAGTGCATGTGTTATTTCAAGCAATGCTACTGTTTAATATTAAAAAAATAAAATTGAAAGGAAAACAGTTTTCCTGCCTTCGCCCCAAAAATATAATGTAAAATAATCTTCCTATGTTGCATAAAAATAAAATCAGACCTTTCTTAACAACAGAAAGCTCAAACAAAAGCCAGGGTAGCTGAATGAAGAGGATACTCATACAACATGAGGAAATCCAGGGTCAAAAAACCTCTCTGTAAAATAATTTAAAAGCCGTATTTATAAGTTGGCTAAAGAAAGAGTCCAACGAATAGCCAATGGTTTCATAGCTCAGTATTCACTTTGATGACGGAAGACCTACATTCAAGTCCATACACTGATTTAAGGAAGTACTCTCACCACTTAACTGTTTTAGGGCAATTCTCTCATATAAGCTGAACCTGAGAAAACCTTCCTATTGAAACAGGTAAGTTTCCCTGAACATGTTTCATTTTGAAAAATGTCACCATCTTCCATTTAAAAAAACCCACCTGATCAGCTCTATGTAAGGCTAGGGTTTTTTATTTTACAGCAAAATTGACTATATTTACCTTAAACTATTTATGTTTGAAAAACCTTAATTTCAGTGCTCAAAAATATTTTCATTTCAGTAAGTAATCCTTTCATATATTCAGAACATGTACACATGAAGTGCATACAGGAAACAGAATTACTGTTGATTTGCCAAAAAGCCATGCAGTATAATTGGAAGGTAAAAGTCATTTTCTTCAGGTAATCCTTACAGTGAGCACTTTTATCTCATGATATAAACTGTGCAGACAGATTAAATCCATCTAAAGTTTTAACGATATGCATTATGCAGCATCAGATAAATAACAGTAAAAGCTGAAAACACCATGTCTCCACAAATAGATTTCATAAAAAACTAGAACTTCTGGTTTCAGATAGAATATGCTTTTAGAATATCTGTGTAAGAGGTGAATATATACAATAAATATATTTTGTTATATTAACTATAGTCACAGTTGTTTTGGTTTTTTACTTAACTACATAATTGTAGAGGTTTACCAGGAAGACATATTTCTGACTGTAATTCCTTTCACTGTAATATGGGAAAATATTATCAAATTCTTCTGGCTGCTACAGATACAGGATTTCTGGCACAGCTGAAAATGTATCAGGAATTAGAACTGATTATTATGTTTTTAGTGTAAATTTCACTTTAATGACAAAGCCATTATTGGACTTTTGGTGAGAAAGCTAAGGAACACATGAGATTTCTTCATAGGAAATGTTGAAAGGCACATAAAAATTTCAATATATATTTAATAATATGTTGAAAAGCAGATTCTGAGTATTTCCGTAGGTTACTTTACATTAAAATATAGAATTAGCAGATGTTTGCCCGTTGGCGCTATGGAAAAACGTTTCATGTATCTGTAAGGAGATCATGCTTATGCATGAACAGACATTTGTTCATTCAAGTGATACATTTTCCCCTCACATATGCTGAAACGACAAAGAGTGTGCACTTATTCTGTTGTTTACTGAGATACCGAGGCACACACATTCACATCAGAAAGTTGCTTGCAAACGGTAAAGGAGAAAGAAAATTAATTTACCTGAAATTATGTACATTTCTTGAAAATGAGTAGGATGGTTTCAGTTACTGATTTTATGCTAATAAACAGTAATACGTTTAGCTAGCTAAAATTCCATTTACAGTCACTTAATAGTTCTGATTCCTTTTAGGATTTCTAAGAATTAGGGTAGATTTCAGAAATACTGCCATGAAAGGCATAGAATCACATGCAAAAAATCTACCAGTTTAAGTGTGAAGCAGCAAACATCAATGTATATCAGACATACAGTACGATTTGACTCACTGTATAAAGTATCGCTATATTGCACATAAAATAACGTGGCACATTTCATAAAGCTACAACTTTGCACAATAAATGACACACACATTTTTACATCTGCAGAGACATAAGCAATGTATAATTTACTTAAAAGTGAAGTACGCTACCTAAGGATTATGCCCTTGCCTAAACCATTCTAGTGTCACTTGGAAAGGAAGGTGGCATGGGCTCTATTCATGCAAATGAAAATACAAAGAGCTGACATTTTTTCCAGAAAAAGGTTGGCTTGAAAATTTTCCAATATTTTACTTTGCCTGTGAAAGTTCATTTTGTGGAACTATATTCTTTAGAAATGTGATTTTAAAAAGTTTTGCTCCTGTTCCCGTTAAAATGATTGATGTCCCGCCAACTTGAAAATTATGCTCTTCAATACAGGTTTTCCTCCTCAAGTCATAATTTATGTGAATATTATATAATTATTATTTGGGATTTTTATTTCATCTCCATTTATCACAATGCTTCTAGCAAGCCACACATAGATAGCAACAGATTGAAATCTAAAGGACTGGAAACTGTACATGAGAGCTGGCAGTGGAAAAAGTACTCACGGTCATTGCAACTGAACGTGTTTTTGGAAATCTGAATAAATCTAGCTTGGAAATAAATTCATGTGATAGAAGTGAAAATGTGTAATCAAAGTAGTGCAGCTTTGGCATATACCACTGATAAATTTCCATTAAAACACCTCGAACTTCCACAGATTTCATCAGCAGCATCATCTGGTCAAAGCTGACTGGGTACAACCTTACCTTTCCAGGCATTAAAAAGTAGGTGTTTATAAACGCTTCTAGCAGACCATGTCTTTTACTGGACTTGCACGTATATCATCAATAACGTCTGATTCCAGTTCAAGCCCATAAAGTTACTCACAAAATTCAGTGTTGAGGACAGGCTTAACTGCTTGAAAGCTCAGGAGACTCTGTTTTGCAAAACATTCTTCTGGTATGCTACATCCTCAAAAGGTTTAATATTCAGATTTGTGTTTGACAAAGGGGGCCATAAATAAAAGAGCATTAATATCTAAACAGTACTGTAAAGCCATAGCCCAATTCTGCCTACAAAAGTTCAGACGAGAGGAACAGTCATTTCACCTCAGTCATGCTGAAAAAAAATGGTAATTCAACAGCTTGCTAGTGTACTTGATGCATGTACATCCATTTAGGTATTCCAAATTTAAAGAGTTTACAAGCCACGGTTGCTATAAGGAGATTTTTAAACGATTAGAGACCTGCAGATGCTGCATAAGTCAAACAACAATGAAAACTGCCATTCACTGGAAAATAATTTTGAAGTTGTAGAATTAAGAGTTATTCACTGTTAAAAAGGGGTTTAGGACTGCTCGTGTTTCTAAAGCCATTAAAACAGTAAACAGGAAATCTTGTTAAATCTTTATAAGCAAAGTTGCAGCATCAGTTAATCTAAAATGCATAGAAACTATTTTTTTCTCCGAGTGTTTTCATCAATCTACATAACAGTTGTCGGTTCACTATTTGGGTAAAAAAGGCCAAGCAAAAAAATGTTCTGGAAAGCTAGAACACATAAATAAAAAGATGTTTGGCTATATTTCCACCAGATTTCAAAGTGCTTCCAAATGGAGACAAGTCCTTTTCCTTCTCTCCAGCATTAAGGCTCTTATAAAGAAAGATAAGTTTAACTAAAAGACACTTGGGCTTTCTTTATCAAATATACCACTTAATATGCTTTAATCATGACCACTTTAAGACCCTAGTTCTGCAATTCTAGCTTTATAAATGTGTACTAGCAATATATAGGATTACTTTATTACAAGACCGGGGCCCTTAATATTCTAAAATGTGAAATACTCAGTAGCTGTCGACAGTACATTTATTTTATATTCTGTTTCTATTAAAAACACAGGGACTAGAAAACCGACTGGGAAATTAAAACCAAGTTACCAATACTCCAGAAAGTAGTCTTGCTGTTACTTCTATTAAATCAGAAACAGTGATCTGGAGAAATTAAATGAAATACTCTTTTCCCATTCAAGTTAACAGACCTTCCCCCCTCCTCCCCCCGAATTTATAAGTTCAATTATTCTGACTAAACCAGACCCTCAGGAGACAAAAGTGCTCTCATTTCCCACTGGTCAAAAGGTTCTATGAGAACTCGACATTACTCAAGCCATTTGGGACACAAAAACACAGTCAAAAATCACATTTCGTTCCTAAACAATCTACAGAAGATCCAAAACATTAAAGGCCTGATCTTACAGCCCTTCATAATCGGAAGATCACACTGACATCGGTTTTACCACTCTCAGAAGTCACGTTTCTAGAGGTCCCTCTCCTGCAAACACATACACGCCTAAATCCTGGAAAATTAGCACCCAGATTTGGCACCAGCACAACTTGCATTCAGCTGAACTCCTGAAAAAGCAAGTTTTAAAAGGAAAATACTATGTTTACCACTAATATAATTTAAAACCTATCTTTGAAGGCAGAAGTCAGCATGCTCTGTAATTTTTATTGATATATTTTTATATGGCAAGATATGACTTTCTTCAATTTGTCTGACTAAATTTAGCCAGTTTTGTGAAATCTGTCACTTGCTGAAATTATGAAAAATTTGGAGCATTTTGTTTTTCAGAAAGCAGGCTCCCGCACCGACAGCTCAGCATAAGAAGTTCAGTTAAACTGTTAACAGGAATACAACTGAAAGTGTTGCTTGGGATGCAGACTAAAATTAGGGATTCAACTCCTGCCATCTCTAGTTCCTTGGGTGCAGTTCCGCGACTTTCCTGCTGACCTGAACACAAGCAGCTTTATGGGACCAATCCTACTGAAGCAAACATCAGATCCTGACAAACCTTTGCAACGTGCCACGTGAACCTGAAAACGAAACACTTGCTTTTTAAAATCTCTCAGTGGGTTGCATTTCAGTTGGTGTGTGGTGTTATTTTTCTTCTCTGAATATGCTTAAACACATGAAAGAGGGTTCAAAATTTAAAAAAATATGTGTATCTTTGCTTTAAACCGATCGGTCGCTTTTACAGCGCGATGAAACACAGCTACTCCCGGGGGCATCCGTACTCTTGCCTTTTTGGGTTCAAAACCGCAGTCTGTCCCTTAACCCTGCCCTGTCGGGCCCTTAACCCCGCAGGGCAATGACCACGAGTGGGTCAGCGAGGCTCTAAGCACAGATCCAGCACCTCGCCGGAGCCGGGCTTTGCTTAAGCAGGATTAGGCAAACAGGATGGCTGGCTGGATGCCCTATGACACTGCCCTCCGCGCTTCCAGAGCCCTGACCCTGCTGGTCGTGACCTCCGGCGCCCGGGAGCACGTCTTTGCACCTGTGGGTCCCGGTCCTGACTGGGAAATTCCGCAAATACCCTGCGGCCCCTGGCTCCGGAGCCTGGCCGGGCAGCCGCTTTGCCAACTGAGGCAGAGACGGTGCGTGGGCCGCACGCCGTGCCCCCGGCCTCCCCGCCGACAGCCCGCGAGGTTTCCCCTCGACACGGCCGGGGCCACAGAAAATACAAATTATCCACCTGTAAACAGAATTCGGGAAAACATCTTCCGCCCGCTTAACAGAGGGACGGCTTGGAAACGAGGCCTGCGCTGGGCCGCGGCCCGCCGGCGAGGCCGGAGGGGTGCCGAGCCCTCCGGCGAAGGGGGGCCCGCCGGGCTCCCGCCGCGGCCCTCCT